GCCTCGATCAGTACACACACACACACACACACACACGCACACACACACACACACACACACACACACACTGACTACACTTACTTCACATGCTCAATTCAAGTTTTTGTGGAAAGTAGTAATTGACAGAAGTGTTAGCCCTGCTGATAAAGAAGTTTAGTCCTTCCACTCAGAAAGGGAAAGGCACTAAAGACAGAGCTCTTGAACTACTATTGTGATCAACCCATCAGGAAAAGTGTCAAAATCATGAATGGACCAGTGGATGGCTTATGTGACCACACTGTAAATGATGAAGGTGCTTTCATGTTCACATCAGAGTCTGTGGGAGAAGGGCATCCAGGTAAGTAACTGGCTGCAGGGGTACAAACAAGTCAGAATATTTTTAATTAAATTCTGTTTAAGAAAGTCTGGCGAAGAATCCAGTCAATATCAGTATTATCATACGGGGTGGTGGTGATGGTGGAGTATTTTTCCACTGGATGCTTATCCATTTAGACTTAAAAATGCTGGTGGTTATGATGCTGCTGCAGGAAATGGTGAGTTGCCACTCTAATTCATATCTGTGAACTGGCTGTGTGTTCCTTCCATGTGGCAATTTGCTCTTGTTTCTGCTTGTTTATTTTGCATCTTTCTTTCAGTGGATTACATTTGAGATCATACTGCATCTCTGATAGCCTCAAGTTTCACACATGTTGAGTTCCACAACCTTGAAGTTTTGTGAAACTCTCCTGCATACATGTTCTGCCATAAAACTGCCAGTCACAATGACAGGAATATCTCTGAGCAGGCTATTTCAAAACTGTTAAAAATGAAAGGCCCCATCAGCTATGCATGGCAGCCTCCCGATTCCCCTCCCCCATGATCTGTTTTTTGTTAAAACATATGGGATTGTTTAAGCAGGCAGTGGACAGTTATTTGCTAAACTTTATGTATTGTCATCAGATTTTAATCTAATTTAATTTGAAAACAAATGATCATCTGCCATAAACATGCAATTTGTTTCCTAAAAATAATGCTAGAGGACAATGACCTATTTGATGTCCTTTAAAGTGTATTTTAGAAAACCATTTTGCATCCTCTAACTTTTGCCATGACAATGCCTTCCAGGTCTATGCACTTACTTGGATTATATAAGGGTGAATAATGAAATTGGACAGGGGGTGGGGTGCGGATGACCTATCTGATAAGAAGAAAAGGATCAGTGGCAAAACCAAAACCATCTCTGCTTTTATGCTTCTCCAATTTTTGCTTACCTCCATAATATTAACTGGCTACTACAGGTCAAATCCTCGGCTGATGCAAACAGGTGTATCTCTGTTGACTTCAATGGAGCTATGCCAGTTTACAGTGTTTGGTGATCTTTCCCAATTGTCAGTGGCTGATGTAACAAGACCAAGAAACAAAGACACACAACTGAAGGGTAGGTTCCACCATAGTGTTTGCTCAGCAACTATAGAGCACATGCAATTAATAGCACCAAGAGTCTTATGTCATTCTAAAGAAGGCTTTTTAATTTAAAGCAACACTCTCAAGAATGATGGGTCCAAAATGTCTCTTAATTATTTTTTAATTCCCTCAGTCAGTGATGGTGAGCTGCCAAGCATTTGGAGATTTGGTTCAGATAAATACCCGAAAGTGCTTCACTTAGCTTCTTTCCCTTTCACCTTTTATTCTGTCTCCTATTCTTTGTCCTGATCCATCTTTAAGCTTAACTGACCCTCAAATTCCTTTCCTCATCTCCAAAAGTCCCTCTCTCAGCTTCCAAGGGCTTCACTGATGTCCTCCTCCCTCTTGCAGTTCCCAGCATCACTTTAATCCCCCAGTTCCCTTTCTGATCACCAGGAGGACTAACTGCACCACTGGTGATTTTTCATATTCAGGCTTGTCTCTCTCCCCACTGAACTCTCTGGCTATTTAAAGCTCCCACATTTCATGGCTTCCTGGGTAACTGGAACTTCCTCAGGTCTTAGGAAAACTTAGGGATTTATAAGATTTGTGGACAGCATCTCCCCCAGCAGCGATTGCCAGATCTCCAAAGGTTTCAACTTGCATTTCTGTGATGAAAGGAGGCTTGTTGTAGATTTAAAAAAGAGAGAGCAGGAAGGTGCAACATGCCAGGGCTTTCTGAATTCCGCCATATACAAATATTTGGGTTTATTTGGTTCAAGTCAATGTTTGAGCTAACGTATGGGCCAGTGTTTGTTCTTTCCAAACCAACAGACCCATCCTCATATATAACAGTGTGAAAATCATTCCTCCCAAACAAGAGTCAACAGGCTTCCAGATTGGGGCAGCCAAGGGTGGCACCAAGACACCCTTTCAGCTCCCTGATTCTGGGGCTCTATCATACTCCAGCTGTCAATGGCCTCTTGGGGCTGTTCTGGCTGCTGGAGGTCAGCAGGATGCAGTTGCATCCTAGTCAAAACCCTCTTTTCCCCAGCTATGCTACTACACAGGCCCACGGGGAGGTGATGTAGGAGCTGCAACATTAGCCTTAGGTTACCCAAGAATTTCTCTGTGTCATCTGGCCATTTAAGCTAGGCTTAAGTCTGTTTTCTGCAGATTTCACTGTGCAGCCAAACTGACTTGATGCAGACGCGTGAGTGGAGCAAAGCAGACTTAACAGGGCTTAGGATCTGCTCTAAGGTCTGTAGAGGGGCGTCCGATGGGAGAACACTATCAAATATATCAGACTAAATTCTTAAATTCTACCTTTTGCAAGTGTGTTCTTTTTACATTTGTTAATTGCTCAACCCACTGAACCTGTATTAAAATACAGGTTTCCCCCCAGTTTTCATAGAACACTGAATTTGTTACACTACAGTAATATCCACTGCAATAGACGCATGACATAGTCTTTTACAAGAATATGAATTTGCTCCAGGATCTCAAGTTTGCTGAGTGTTAATGTTAAAAAATAAGCTTCCTTAAATGCATTCATTCTAGCTAGGTGTCTGTATAGAACTGACGAAAGTAATGTATATGATAAAATTCCCAGGCACTGTTAGGAAATATCAAATACTGCCAAGTTGGAGTTGTGCAAACAGCAAGTGAGAGCACTTCGTAACAGAAGTCAGAGGCAGTCCGGGGAGCACTTATATATTATAAAGCACTGAAACAGTTGAGCATTTGTTACCTCTAAATACATTTAATTTTGTGATCAGGGAAGAAGAGGAATTAGTTACACAATTTTAATTAAAGATGAGCCAAACCAAATGCACAGCTCTGAATGCCCACAGCCTCTCAAGACGTTTGGATCCGGATCCAGATTTGAACAAACCAGCCAAAGCTAATTTTTATTTGAAACATTAAATTAAAACTAAATAGTAAAACTGTGAAAAATCTACCATTTGAGCCACTGGGGTTGATGCCAGTGTTTACTTTGGTTTACACCTGCATGGATTTACATTCTTGATTCTTCTGTCACTTACACTGATGGAACTCTATTGTCTAAAGTGGAGTTACTCCTGAATTTTGCTTTGAGTTTCCAGTGAGAACAAGCCCAATAAGTCAAAGTATTGTAGACATCTAAATCAGTTCTGTAAATATATAAGGTGAAACTCGGCATTCAGCTGCAAAATTGTCTGAAACTACAAATTTCTCTAGGTGGCAGCTCAAAATCATCTTAGGTTTTCTCAAAACTAGGTCCAGGTCTGAGGCAGAGGCTGAAATACTGCCCATATAGAAGCTAACAGTAGTTTTCAATGGGGTTGGGATTTCATCCTGAGTTTTGAGTTTGTAACTAAAACTGACACCAGTTGACTCTTGCATAGTTTCTGGTTTAATTGTGAACATTTCTCTGTGATCCCTTTTAAATTTGTAATTAGCCCCTCCAGTCAATGGGAATGTCTAAAATGCCCATTGTTTCTCTTGGTGCCTCTTGGAATATAAAGATTCTGTAGCACAAAGAAACATTTCTTCTGGAAAAAGAGGTGCTTAAGAATACCAGTGTGTTCTCTGCTGTGACTGATGGGAAATATTTCAGTGCTTCATAAAAGTGCTCCCAGTTTTTGATGTAAAATCTAGAATGGATTCTTTGTGGGAAGTTACTATGTCAGTTGTACCAAAGTCCCCATCAGGGAGGACAGAGGAATCTTCTTTGGACATTGCACTCAATGAACTGGCTTTAGTTGAAGCTGTGTATGTATAGATCACACCATCTTTCCACACGTCTAAATAGATATACTATTAGAATTTACCACTTACAGAATCATACTATGTACTATCTCCACAATGTTCTCTATACCCTGGGCTCTTTACAGAAATTGGAGTAATCAGAAAAAGCAAAAGGCTGGCACTGTCTACATGTGGTAATGTCATATGCACAATATTAATAAATCCAGCAGCCTACGTTTGCTGTTGGTGGATCCTCTAGTTGAAGGGGTGGGATTGTAACAGAGTTATAGCCCTTTTTACAGTGTTAATAGATATTTTAAATTATCATGATGATATTAATATAATAATGAATATGACAGAGTCCTCATGTTACAGATAAGGTAACATTTGATGGAAAACTTTTAGAACATTCTCTTTAGACACAAAGAGCACTAAAATGTTCACATTTCTCTTCCTCTGCTGGATACTGTGGAGACATTTGATTGAAAAGGTATTTCATTTGTGACTGGTGATTATACCTCTCCTATCTGGACATTAGAATAATTTCCACAAAATTGTGCTTGAGAACACTCAAAGAAGTAAAGCTCCTGGACGAGATCTTTAGTTGGTGTGAACTGGACGGTTTTCCCATATAAATGTCCCTCTTAACAAGAGAGGGAGGGGAAATACAGGGAATACCGTATTTTCCGGCGTATAAGACGACTGGGCGTATAAGACGACT